CCCACAGCCCCAAACCCTAAAACCCCACGCCCCAATTAAAACCCTAGACCCTAAATTTTAAAACCCTAAACCCCAAAACCTGAAAGCCCCGAAGTTACAGAGTTAAAGCTCAGGGTGACCGTGCAAAAAATGCACTGCTTCTTCCATTACCAGAAATGTATTGCATTTCCCCCGTATGCTAACCAAGATTTAGGGTGCAGGGTTTAAGGGGATCTCAGCACCTAGGATTTCTGAGACCCCGAAAAGTAAACCTCTATGCCAACAAACCTAAACCCCAAACGCTACACTCCTAAACCTACCCCAAAACCGAAAACCCGACCCTAAACCCTAAACCCTAAACCCTAAACCCTAAACCCTAGCTGCCCACCTCGAGGCCGGTTCGTGGAATGAACTCACTGGCCTCCGCCCTCAGCACCCCACTCCTGGAAACGGTTTAGGGTTTAGGGTTTAGGGTTTAGGTTTTTCTCGGAGTGGTCTTATGGTTTGCTGAGGCATCTTTGGAGAGTAGCTATCGGACCAAACAAAGTTTAAAAAAATTAAGTCAGGAGCCCATTGTCGCACATGTCTTAAGCCTCTGATTTGAGCATTCCTTGAGTGTGTGTGTGTGTGTGTTTGTGTGTTATCGCGCCTTAGCTTCGAAATAAGAAGGTTTTATGTGTGTGTAGCAGAATACTCATTTGCTTGTGTGAACACTTATCTGTTGTTCATGCGTGGTTCCTATCTATGGATTTACGGATAGATGATAGATTGATCGCTTGATAGTTAGATAGATAGACAGATATATAGATGCGTAGATAGATAGATAAACCGATACATAAGATAGATAGACGGACAGATGGGGGTCTCAGTTTTAGGGGTTCAGGGTTTAGGGGTTTAGGGTTCCGGGATTAGTTTAGGCTTGGGAACCAGAGGATGTGATGGCGGTCTCCCCCCGCCCCTCGTGTCTCCGTCAGAATCTCCTCATTCTTGGGAATGGGATGTCGCCCTTCATAACCTCGTCTTTCTTCCCTTCACTTAGTTTGGAAAACTGCCCAGACCCTTCTTTTGGACTTCCCTCATATCCATTATTCGGTCTAGGGTTTAGGGTTTAGGGTTTAGGTCATATCTATTAATCTCCTGTTGTCTTCCTGCCCAATCCTGCCCAAAGGAGGTTTGTCGCTCTATGCAGCTTACGTGGAGCTCGGGAAGACGCCTGACGCAAGCTGAAGATCAACGAGAAATGACTTCCGCTGAAAGTGAGTGCGGAAATCAAGGAAGCTGGTTGGGTGTGATGTGACAGCGGCGCGTGCGGAATCAGAAGTAAAGGTCGATCCCATGGTGCACGAGTCGTGAAACGCTTTAGGGTTTAGGGTTTCAGGGTTAGGTTTGCGGGGTTACGGTTTAGGGGTTCAGGCATTCAGGAGCTGTGGAACCTTAAACCATCAAACTTACAGTGGTTTCATAAGGGTGTTGTAATTCTAGAGTTTGTAACGGTTCCTGTAGGGTTTTATGTAGATTGTCTACGGGCTTATGTAGATTATTCAGGGTTTTGTGTCGGTTCTTACTAGGGTTTGGTAATGGCTGTTATGTGGATTCTAGAGGGTTGGGAGATTAGGTTGTTGATGAGGATTAGGGTTTAGGCTTTCGGGTAAGTGCTTTAGCGGTTTGGGCCATGGTGGTTTTGGGCTTTAGGGTTGGGGGTTGGGTTTCTTCCGGGTTACGAGGTCGCCCGGTAGTACCCTTTGTCCCTTCTTTTTGCTGGGTTCTCCTTTTTTCCGGACTGCAGAATACAAAACACCAGTAAGCACCGGTAACCCTAAACCCTAAACCCTAAACCCTTATGTTTAAAGCTGGTACTTGGGAACATAGATGATACAACCCTAATCCTGAAGACACCCTCTGAAGCCCTTAACACAAAGCCTAATCAGACCAGAATAGGGTTTAGGGTTTAGGGTTTAGGGTTTAGGGTTTAGGGTTTAGGGATCTAGGGTTACCCGGGCACCTCGACTCTACGCCCAGACTTTATCAAGACTTGCAAAGAAAAGTTCTATCAGAATACTGCAAGTTCTTCTTACGCACAACCCAGGGTTTAGGGTTTAGGGTTTAAGCTAAACCCTAAACCCTAAACCTACCCTAAGACCAACACCTTTGCAAAACCCTAAACCCCGCAAAGCCTCTACAGAGCAACGACGGGGCTTCCTTCCGAGGTTTGGTGTGAAGCTGTGGTAATATGGCTGATGGTATAAATCCTGAATTACCCATAATAAGGCATATACCATCATAAGGAATATACCATAATAAGGCATATACCATAATAAGGCATATACCATGATAAGAAAATACCACAATAAGGAATATACCATAATAACTCTAATCACGAATATATAATCAGGAACATACCCTAGTTCCCACAGTTTAGGGTCCTTAAGGTAATGCAGAATTTATGTCACCATCAGTAGTATCCCCCGCACAGCCCATGTGTGGTTGCACTTGCACACACCCCATAACTCCTAGTCTAGTAGAGATGCCTTGAAAGAAATACAGCATGGTTTGGGGGTAATGCGTATTTATGATGGAATGCTATTCTTACGTACTCCGACCTCTATGGTAAGCATTAAAACTCTAAACCCCAAACCTTAAACCCCAAACTCTAAACCCCAAACCCTAAACCTCAAACCCCAAACCCCAAACCAAAAACCCTAAACCCCAAACCCTCCCCCCACCCCCCTCCCCCCCATGCCGACCTCACTGGAGAGGTGTTTGGGCCCTGGGCAGGTGCTGGCTGGTTTCGGATTTCGGGCTTGCGGTTTTCTTGGCTTTTGTTAAGGGTTTAGGCTTTAGAGTTTAGGGTTTACGGTTTAGGGTTTAGGGTTGAGGGTTTCGGGTTGGATAGTAACCCCCAAAAAATTGGAAACCGGATTAAGGACAAATAATGCTGAGATTCTCTTTTGGGTTCGGTTGTGTGGGTTTCACGATGTTGGAGTTTAGGCTTTGGGACGTGGGATATTCCGCACTCGGGGTTGGCGTCAGGGTCTGGGGGGGTCGGTTGTTGGCTTTTGGATTCGGATGGGTTCAGGGTTTGGGTTTCGTGTTGGTGTTAAAGGAAACTACAGGTGGGGAGTTTAGGGTATATAGGGCTTCTATAAGGCTTCCATAAGGTATATAAACCTTCTATAAGGCTCCTATAACAACGGGCTAACCCCCCCCAAGAACTACCACGAGGTGCCGCGATAGCTCCACCAACCCTCCCAGGT